ACACCCAACTTCATCAATCACCAAGCAATCTTACTTTGCATCTTGGCTACCAAAAGAAAATGGGATTTGTTTCCCTGAAGAAATATGTCATTGCTCTGCTTGAATTATTAAGCTTTACTATTACAGAGAGAAACAGAGTCAGGGAGAAAAGAGGGGAAAAAAAAAAGGGAGAAATGAGTAAGAAATAAAATTAGACCCAGGATGCCATCTACAGGTTGATATCAGTACTGCTCATTCATGCAGTATCAGTGAGCAGGAGCAGTTAAAGAAATGGCAAAATCTAAGAGTGAACACTTTATTCAAAAAGATCAAGATAGCTTACTGCTCTTTTTTTTTTTCCTCTTTATGGTAAGAACAATACATAAGCAAAAAATCAAAAAAAAGATCAAAAAAAGTCCACAATTTGATTTAACAAAGAAATAGTCAGATATTCATCTGAATGCTAGAATTTAACACTTACACATGAAAATTAGGTATACTATTTCAATCAAAATAAAAATACATTTAACTAGAAAAAACTAAGTAAATTTCATCTCTACCCAATTTCTTGCATTTTTTTTTCTTATCCTGCCTCTACACATTATCTTCCCTTTCATTTTGCCTCAAGTCACTATTGCTTTTTACCTTTCTAAAGCATAAAAGCCCACTGGAGACTTTAGAATCCAAAAGCACACACTTGGTTCTCATTATGAAAATAGATGACATTAAAGCAAAAAGCAACTGCAATAATAAATGCAAATGAAGGCTGAATTTAAAGGGGAGTGCGAGAGAGAGAGAAGACTGATTTCAATAAGATAACCTGGAAAATTCTACAGCCAAAACATCTGGAGGGAGATCTATTTAAAAGAAATAGTTCAATAGTCTGAATTTCAGCTTAATAAAAAAAAGCCTTTAAGCGTATTAAGTGATGATTTAAACTATGAACCGCATAAACTCTTTTTTCCTGGGAAAATGTTTTTAGGAAACAAGATTCTTTATCAGGTTGTATATTCTTTTTATCGTATGAAAAGATACAAGATGTTTTCTGTGGATGTTTCTAGACCAGTGGTACAAGTCTCTGATTTGAGGAAGAAATTCATCCCTACCACCTACCACCTTCAATTGAATGATAGTTGCTGTTCCATGGAATGAGCTCTAGCTGTTAAAAAACCTATCATCTGCACACTATTGTTTTTTTAGACTGGTTTTTTTCAAATTCATTTATTTATATTTATTTTTACATCATCCTTCACTTTGTGCATTTTTTCATCTAGGTTGTAATCCCCATGGAATTCCCACCACCAATTCACCCATGTGCCATCTCCATAGTCCCGTGTGCTCTTCCCACCCCAGCTTTGATCCTATTCCCCTTTCCACCCCTGTAAACTGTCTTTATTCCAATTTCTTTTTTTTTTTCCCTGATCCCTTACGCTCCTGCTATGAGTGAAACTATCCAGTATTTTTCTTTTTCTTTCTGGCTTATTTCACTAAGCATGATCCCTTCCAGCTCCATCCATGTTGCTGAAAAAAGTATGTGTTTATCTTTTTGACTGCTGAATAATATTCCATTGTGTGTATGTGCCACATCTTTTTAATCCAGTCATCTATTTTTGGGGCTTTGGGTTGATTCCACATCTTCCCTATTGTAAATAGAGCAGCAATAAAAATGGGGGTGCAGGTGTGCTTCTGAATCAGTGTTTTTGTATCCTTTGGGTAGATACTAGGGTGGGATTGCTGGGTCATATGGAAGCTCCATGTTTAGCAGTTTGAGAAACCTCCAAACAAATTTCCATAATGGTTGTACCACTTTGCATTCCACCAGCAGTGCAGAAGAGTTTCTTTTTCTCCACATGCTTGCCAACATTCATTGCTGCTAGCTTTAATATGTACCATTTCCACTGGTGTGAGGTGGTATTTCATTGTGGTTTTGATTTGCATCTCCCTTATTACAAGTGATGCTGAACATTTTTTCATATGCCTGCTGGCTGTCTGCATTTCCTCTTAGAAGTGTCTTTGTATCTCTTCTGCCCATTTTTTGATGGAGTGGTTCACTTTATTTTTGTTGAATTTCATCAGCTCTTTGTATATCTTTAGTATTGTGCATCTACACACTATCAAAACTGCATTAGGAAATATCCACTTTAAATTGGCGAATATCTAAAAACAACTTCTTTAAAGGAAAGGAACTGCAGCACTTCTAAAACACAATTTGCCACCATAGTCTACACACCTTTGTTATTTTCATTCCCACAGATACAAATGTTGAAAATTCTATGTGAGTCTCTACAAAAGTAAAAATATTGGTAGTTCAACTCTTTTAAAAAAAAGTTTACTTTCCTGTGACAGTGGGAAAGTTTAAGCCAGTCTCATGTTCCAAGTTTACAAGAGATAAACTGGAAAGATGATGGATGGAGCTCTTTCTTTTGAAGGACGACATCAAAATCTACTGACTTTACAGAAACTCAACATTAGTAGAAATTGGGATCTTCAGAACCTCCCTGGTGGCCTAGGCATTAAGTCTCAGTGTTATCACCACTATGTCCTAAGTTTGATGCCCAAAAAGGGAGCTGACCCACACGACACAGCACACCTCTCCTGTCTTACCTACTGCTCCCCTCAGCAGTGTTTTTCAGTGGCTCCACCCATCCTGTTCCCTACTCTGTCTCTGGTGAATCTCTCACCCATTGCATCTCTGCCCTATCCCTCAGTTCTTCCATATAAATATAAAATAAAAATGTAACACATTTTAAAAAACTGGAATTTTCATAAGCTAATGAAAGTTTCAGAAAATAAGCAAGCAATACCTCATAAAACTCCATAAAACTCCTATCAATAAGATTTCATGAAAGTTGTAAATGGGCCTTCTTTCTTAGTAGATTTCAAAATATTTCAGCTACTTATCTATATTGTGACTTCTGTCTTCCATTCATCAGTCTTTATTGGATATCTCATTATCTACTAGCCCTCTGCCAGTTTTTAAAGGTTAAAAAAGAAGGAATCTCATGAGAAAGCCAAAGGCAATGAGTAAAATAGTCTCTATTACTTGTAATGCTCAAGATATGGCACATTCTTCAAGGCTAATACTTCCCTTTTAACGCTGGCCACACAATTAGCATTCGATACATATTTTTTGAGTACATTTCACCCCAGCCCGGTTGTTTCAAGTCACTGAAAAGGATCACACAAACTTAATGATAAGTGTAATTGTAAAAATAAAGCTTAACACATACCCACAGTTTACAGACAGCTAATGTGACCGAAATAAACCAAATGACTCATTTAGTGTCAATAGCAGAACTGGAGTAAGAATCAAGAACTCTTGACTTCCTGCTAATCTCTCTCATTTAAGTCTTTTAAGATTTAAATCCCTTTCACTTTCTCCTCTAATATAATTGGTTCATTCATTTACCCTAGCTCTTTCATTTTAACCTAGTCTCACACATCTTTCTTCTGGCTCTTTAATCAATTGCACAGCTTCCTTCAAACTCTCACACAAGTTCACACCATCTCCCTGTGGAGAAGCCCACCTTAGCTATACCACTGAAAAACACAGTTTTTAATTTCCACTTTTAAGGGGATTTTTTCCAATAAAAACAGTTGGCTCTCCATATCCTTGGATTCAACCAACTGCCATCCATGGTTGTTAGTACTGGGAAATGCTGAACCACAGGATACAGAGAGTCAGTTATTAGAGACTTGGGTATACACAAGGGTCCTGAGCCCCTCTCCCCCCCATACACACACACTCACACACACAGAGATACTAAGCGAGAACTCTAGTTAAATTTGGAGGAATCAAAAGTTATACACAGATTTTTGGCTACATGTGGGTCATTGTCCTTAACCCTGCTTGGTTCAAGGGTATGCTGTAATTCTCTTTTTTTTTTTTTTAAGATTTATTTATTTGTGCATACAATACTGGGGTAAAGGCCAGAGGTGCAGGGGTGGTGAAAGGATTCACCAGAGACAGAGTGGGGGAGCAGAACAGGCAGATCGATGAGGTACACTGCTAAGGAGAGCAGTAGGCAGGTCAGGAGAGGTCTGCAGCGCCATGTGGATCTCCTCTGGGGCAGGCGGGGATGGAACTCATGCTGAAGTGGCTTTAGCTTCTCAGTGCTCCACTTTAACCTGCTGTGCCACCAGGGAGGGCCCAGTATGCTATAATTCTTATGTGAACCTTCATATCAATTTTGAGATGACCTGGAGCTCCCAGATGGAAGTCCATGAAATCGTATCCCATCCCTCCTCATCCTAAGCATCCCACCATGTTCCTCTATGGGAGGTGTGCATGGATCCAGGGTGGGAGGAGAAGCGTTCTTCCCACTCTCCTGTGCCCCAGCCTACTCTCTCTGCCCACACACATGCTCGCCCTGGTAAAAAAAAACCACAACAAGGTTGCCTGCAAAAAATGTTAATATGAATATTAACAATTCTGACTGCATCCTCTATCTATCCTGAGATAGATCTATCCTGATGTCTCATGAATGCCAGTTTTTATAAAAGTATTATCTACCAACTGTCACCAGGTAATGCAAGCTAAAAATACATCAATAGTTTTGATACATACTGTCTACTGGTAAATTTGTACATGTGTTGAGTTTTCTCTTGGATATCAGCAACATTAGTAAACAGCTTTCTGAGGAAGGTGATTTGTCACTAAAAGTGAATCAAAATGAATGTGGACAGGGATGTAGACACACAAAGAGACTGATGTCAATAGTAGTTGGTAAAAATGTTCATCAAACAGTCTCAGCAGGAAGAGAATGGGAAAATAACTTTTTTTTTTAAAATAATACCACCATAAGAATTACCTTATTTCAAAGCGTCTTCATCGCACATTATCTGTTTCCAAATAGAAATCATGCATACAAAACAGTTGCATTTCTCATACACACACACACAAAAAAAAGCTTTGCAATTTCTCATATATAACACTAAGAAGAGAAAACCAGAAAAACGAACGGATCCACACGATAACTGAAATTGATGGTAATTGATCATCAGAGTAACAGCACACTTACCACTGTTTAGAACTGCTTTCGATGAATTCTTTAACTTTACACTCTGTTTGCCTTTTGTAGGTTTTTCTGAATTTGTATCATCTTTTTTTCCTTTCCTTTTTGGGGGCTGAGGAGATGAATTATCACTGGATCCGACTGTTGACTTTGATTGGCGATCATTTCCCTACACAGCAGAAGATGACACCCTTACTGTTGGCTGATGGGTTCCCAAAGTGACTCCTAGCCGATGAAAGCCACTAAGTGCTGGTAACTGGGGCAGGGGGTTAAGATTTGGTGCTAATTCTGCTACTGTCCATTTTATACGAAATTACTCTTCCCACCAGCAGCACCAGGGTCTAGCTGAGAAAAGACAACTAAAGTAAGAGCTAACTTGAGTTGAGTGAGTAATATGCACCAGGTATGCTGCAAAATTAATTCACTTCTTCTCATAACCCTGTGAGATGTGTAGTGCTGCTACCCCATTACGGAGAAGGAAGGAGGCTCTGATGGAGGCTAAGCCTGGCCCAATGTCACACAGCCACTATGGAACAACCCTCTCTCCACTGTCCTTTCTAAAGAACCAGGCGCCAGCTACTGACTGAGGAATGGGGAGGATGATGACAACCATCACTTTGCTCAGTTAATCCGGAAGTAGCTTCTTAATGAGTTGCGTGACTATATGGGTATCATCTTGCAAGCAGACAGGCACTGCACTTGTGGAACTCTGATACTAACTCATCTGTTGCTGGCCACCATGGTCGCTAAGAATCAGAAATCCTGAACAACATACAGACACAAGCAGCACAAAATCATGCGCCTACCATTCGTTCATTCCAAACACCCCGCACACCCACTATTCCTGCAAGTGAGCACCTCTGTGGAGGTTACCCCTCACCCCCTTGTGCCACTGGAACCAAAGCCTGGAGGTGAGTCTGAGTTTCAGTGGCTGCTGTCGATGGTCTGAGCAGAGCTTCTGGAGCCACATGGCAGCCATGACAGTGATGGCAACTCTAGGAACAGCTCTAAGAACAGCTATACTGTTACTTAGCCAGGGCCACTGCTACAGCAGAAAACTCTCTCCTAACAAGCTCATCTTGTCACTCACATGCTCAGTGTGTAGGTATGCAGACACAGATAGCAGAGAGAATGCAAATTCTAGAGACACCCCCCCCCAATACCTGGTTCAGAGACAATGCTCCACCAAGAAACACCTGAGAGACCATGGGCTGACTCACTCCTACCTCCTTTGAGTCAGCTTCCTCCTCAGTTGAATGGGATTAATGACCCTACTTTGGGTCTGTTGAGGATGCAATGGAATATTTACAAAGTGACTTTGACAGTGCCTGGCATGTGGTCTGAGTATCAGAGTGACTTTCTCCAAAATCAAAGAGTTAATATATTTGACTTAAAAATTCTAACAAACTCATACCATCTCAGGCACAATCTTTATGCAACATCCATTCTATACTATTATCTGAAAATAAATGCAGTAATGTTAAATAAACAAATCTGCCAGAAACCTATTAGAACAGCTCATTTTAAACATTTATATATTCAGTCATCCAGAAGCACTTAAATAGTTTTAGCCATCACCCAATTAAGAATAGAAAAATTCACAGCCTTACAAATGAAGTTATTTATGCTGTTTTGTCAGAGCCTACAAGAAAATGAATTATGCATAGATTTATTAACAGTATGAAAACTTGTCCAAATCTATAACATTTTTTGCTTGATTTAATTTCCTATTCCAAGTGCAATTTAAACATACAGTTCCCCTTTAGATATTGCATTAACTGTAACCAGAGTTTGTTTTCTCTTTACCTTTCTTCAACGATTCTTTCTCACAGGCCATAAATTGCCTGGTAGAAGAAAGACATACTGTGATCATAGTGAAGATTCCAAAGCCATCAGCCCGGTCTCACAGCCCAGACAATTTTCAAGCAAGTCTACTCATTCAATGTTTTAAAATTTTAGAAGTGTTTAATGAGAGGTGTTGTCTTTTCTCAAGTTTACTAGCCTGCGCAGAAGTGCTACTCAAGTACTACAAAATGAAAGAGAAAATGAGACCCTCTGTTTCTCTCAAGAGTTTTTTACACCAATCCAGCAAAAGTCTCACACAGGAGAATAACAAGGAGGAAGCAGGACCCTAACCTGGATTGGATGGGAATGCACATAATTTTTAAAATCAGCTTTCTTTTGGAATATACCAGAAACTCCTGACTTATTACAATTCTGAAAGGCATACTCAACAGAATGGTTTCTGGAGCAGCAAGAAATTTTCATTGATTCTAGTTGCTACAAGAGACAACAGTTTTGGCTGCTAACACCACACATTCGGAGACTGGCCAGTAACCTGGCACTTGGTGAGAATGAAATTAAACTGCAACAAAGGGAAGAACTCTTTTGTAATTAGAAGTCTGTCAATAACTTAAAAATTGTTAAAGAAAACTATGGGGGTTCATTTAAAGTGGCAGTTGTACCAAAATAAATAGACCTATAAGTGACGTGTGTTCATGGCTTACTTTACACACTTAGTTAAATGAATTAAAAGTAATATATAAATTACATGTAGAGAAGAAAAAACAAAAGGATGCAGGGATTTCCCATTCTTTTATCAGACTTCCACATGTGATTTTTTTTTTTTAAGATTTATTTATTTGTGCATACAGAACTGGGGTACAGGCCAGAGGCTCAGGGGCGGTGAGAGGCTTCACCAGAGACAGAGTGGGGAACAGAACAGGCAGATCGACGAAGTACACTGCTGAGGGGAGCAGCAGGCGGGTCAGGAGAGGTCTGCCACGCCATGTGGTCACCTCCGGGGCAGGCGGGAATCGAACTCATGCGGAAGCGGCTTTAGATTCTCAGTGCTGTGCTTTAACCCGCTGTGCCATCAGGGAGGGACCCACATGTGATTTTTAACTTGGATGCACAGAGAGAGGTTTCTATTTGGGGGCAGAGAGCAAAGAAGCGTTTTGCCATTTCTTACAACTATACCAGCTAATAAAACAATACTTTTGAATTCTTTTGTGTGTTAAATATCCACTGCCATAAATATCTACCAAATATGCAGATAGCATTATTATCACCAGCTTAGATTAAGAAATTAACTTTCTTAAATTCACCCAGGTCTGATTTTTCTCTCTATTAAAGCTTTCTAGTTCCCAAGTCACTAAAAATAGCCATAACTTCCCTGAAACAGCCACTGGGAAGTAACAAATTACAACTTTAGTGCAAAGTGGAAGAAATCAAGAAGTTGTTGAATTTTAAAGCAAGACCCCATCCTGCCTTCTGCCTCACACAGGTACCAAGTTATCCCACAGGAATAACAAACATCTACCTCAAATCAACAAAAAACTGTCCTCCATCCACCCCGTCACATTACCTACATTAGAATTTTTAAGATAGCACCCCTGGCTCTCTCTAAGATCCAACCCACTCGGTAAATCCATTTCTATCCCCCATGAAAATGTGTCAAATGCGTAAAAGATAGTTTTAAAATCATTTTGTGAATGGTTTGCTCCACAGAGCAGTCTTCAACATGGGCATACTACAGCAATGCACCCAGGAAACTTACCAGCACCGGAACTAGACCCGGACTTCCGAGGGCCTTTCTCTCACTTGTTACTTGTGATGAGAAGCTCTTTCATCCAGGCTGGCCTCAGTTTCCCCCTAGGCTTTAGGGCATCAGGGAAACAATTTCCAGTGACGGGAGGATGTAGGTAATCATGCTTATGTTTTTGTTTCTTACTCAAAATTCTAAGAACTACAGTATTTCATTCTGAAAATTACATCGTGAGATGTACTAGCCACGCAGTAATAAAATGCAATTTAATTTTTAATCTAGCCTTTCAGTTAGTCTAGCAGTCGCTTTCAAATGTGTCCCTGACTTTATATCTCTTCCACTAGAGGGCGCGTTGCTGCTGTTGATATGTGGTGTAAGCGTGCAGCCAGAAAACTGCCCGCCGCTGATGGGTTTGTTTTTCAAACTTTATAGAATTTAAGACAATTCAGTAATTTCTTCTTTTAGTTTCAAGCTTGGAATAGCAAATTACAATTATTTGCCATCTGCTCACTACTGTGACTCTCAACAAAATGTATAGTGGTGACTTCACTCTTGTTTTCCTTTGCCAAGGCTTTCCTGGCTGTTTTGAGAGGCTCACTGAACCCCAAGGTTCCCTAAACGTCCCTCCCACAAGGGTGGGCCTTGAAGTTCAAGAAGCCACCGGCAGGTGTCTTCCACACAGACTACCAGACGAGGCAGCATTCTCTTTCTCCCTCTGCTTTTTTCTTTTTAAATTCTCTCAGCCCCAGGCAAAATGCCACTGAGTGATTCTAGAAAGCTAGTGAAGGCCTTACAATCTCCTGTGTCCCCTTTGACTGGCATTAGGATTTCAGAGCTTGATGTGACAGTGGTTCCCAGAGTTTCACTCTCACACTCCACATCCCCTTCACTCACACCCTAACTCAGCATATCGAGCTATTAATGACCTTCAACAATGCCAGCCTTCTCCAGGGAGCCAATTAATTAAGAGAAAGGAGCAAATTAGTCTTTCTGTTAACATCAAGTTTTTGACTTTGGCACTGCCAAAATGAGATTTTTCTGTCTCAGTATCCCACCTGCCATGCACAGTGAAGAGGTTTTGGGAAAAATCTACTGTGTGCTGGCTGTTCCCTTCTAAGCAAATGTAAACTCCTCAAAGGAAACCGCCATGGCCCTCCCACTCATTGCTAAAGTAGCACACTTTCTCTTACTATATCTTGATATATTTTTCTTCAAGTCTAGATGTGAATAAAATTGGATGCGTGGGTTATGTGTTTGTCTGGCTCCTCCTTTAGAATGTAAGCTCCAAGCAGTTCAGCGTTTTCTCTGGCTCCTATGTCCACCTCCAAGCACCAGACCAACGCCCAGAACATAATTTGCACTCGGTTAATAAGTACTGGGTGACTGAGTTCATCAATAATATCAGACAGTTACAATATGGTAGAAGAAGAAATACGAGAGATGCCCACCTCCCCTGCAGGCACCTGTCCAAGTACACTGTGTCAAATAACTGGACGCCAGTCATCCCACTGCTACCTGCTTTGACTTCTGCTAGACCCACTCTTCTGTAGAGACAACAGCCAGAAAGAGCTTTGAAAAATGTAAACCAAGAGCTATCCTGATTTCCACTAGCTCCTTTCTTCAAACCCTCAAACAGTATTCCTTCAAGGAAAAAAAACCCTAGCTCCTTGTAGGGCCCATTTTATCGGGTCCTGCTGGCCTCTCCATTTTCATGTCAGACCCCTCAGGAACATGAGATTCTTCTCTCTTCCCAGGCCAAGCTGGTTCCCAAAACCCTCAGTGGTAGTATCCTCTGGCTTGGAGATCTTTGCTCCCCGCTTCCATCAGCTTGTGATATCATAAATGTCTGCTTCAGATAATATGACATCAGTTAGTGCCCATTTACTTTTCTCATAGTGCTTCACTCCAGATGAATTATTTCTACAGTCATGCCCCACACAAACATATTTTAGTTGACCATGGACCTCATATATGACAGAGGTCCCCACATAGAGTCTAGGGTGCAGTAGCCTAGCCTAGTAGGTCTGTGTGACTACCTTCTATGATGTTGTCGTGACAACGCATTTCTCAGGACACATGACTGCGTAGGTTTAGCGGTTTGATGGTCTGTTGGCCCCACACAGACACACACAAGAATGAAAGATCTGTGTGGTGTGACACCCTGTCTCTGTTCAACACTGATCACCAGTTTGTTAGAGGAGTTCCTGGCACTCAGTAACTGTTCACAAAATATACTTTCTAAACGACGGCCTGGATGAGTAGCTAGACAGATATATAATGTATAATAACCCCAGAGTCATCTGGGGTTATTGTGGGAGGAAGACAAAATGCTGCTATTTGGTTTACCTGAGTTTCTTCTCAGAGCACGGAAACGTGCTTTTGAGTTTTTGCTTTCAAAATGATGGAACTGTATCTTCAAACTTTGAGCCATAATTTAAAAGTCACATTCTCAAAGAAGTCCTGTCTGACACACTTACCTAAATTCATTCCTTTTATTCTCACACAGCTCTTCCATTTCTTTTCATTCTCCTATGAGTTCTAACTGTATGTTGGTAAGTGGAATTATTTGTTTAATATCTGTCTCCTCAAGTAGAGCCTGAGCGCAGGGGAGGGCATCATGCCCTTTTGGTCATCATGACCTTGCTGAAACTTAGTTCCACGCCAGACTCACAGAAAATTCAATCAATCATCACTAGATGAACAAGTATTCAGATTTCAGAGAACTTCCAATCAAGAGAGCAAAAAAAAGAAAAATGCACAAGTGCCTCCTGCCTGTGAATTTTAAGGCAGGGAACACATGAGTACATTTTCCATTTAAAGAATTAAGAATTCCCAGGTTTCAGAAGCAGAAACACCAACCCCTCGTTCAGCAACTGCAAACGCAGAGCGGAGTTTGGTTGGTGATTTTGATGTCAAACTGTGACCCAGTGTCAAAGGGTTCAACTATATCGGGCCCCTTTCACCCACACCTCTTTGGTGGTACTGTGAGAATGAAAGGGTTCCTTCTGGGGTGGTTCCCCTCCAAAGTCCTGAAGAAGAGGATAACTTTCCAAACCCCCGAAGGATGGCCTTTCTTTAGCCTGACGCTGACTAAATGTGTTCAGCCACCACTGCAATGGTCCCCCCTCATCATCTCCATACAAATCCTGTGCAGTTGTGTTTGCACACTGTCTCTTTCTAGACCCCCACTCTCTCGTCCTGTCATTCAACAGCATGAGGACATCTGCTCTCTCCCTGCCCAGCTGTACTGGGTGCTAGAAGGAGCATCACAGTGACAAGTCTCTGCCTGTCCACTCTGCCCATGCTGTGAACCAACTCGTAAAGCTACCAGCACAGCCATGTCGTCCTCAGCAGACCCAGCCTCCAATATCTTAGAGTCCAACCTCTCCAATAACCCCATGTACAAATTACCAAGGAAATACCTTGTTTCTTCATAGAAAACAATCACCTCCCAATACTTCTGTGACAACCCTAGTCTAGGTTCCCATCAATTTACACAAGGTCATTGCATTTGCCCCAAAACTGGTGTCTCATTTGTGGATTCTCACCCCTTTAGGTCTTTCTCCAGATAAAAGTTTTGGCTAAAATGCACTCGGATTTGTAATAGATACACCTCTGTGAAGGGGAGTCACCATTTTCCCTGACAGGCTATATATGCACTGGGCTTCCCACAGGGGAGCAGCAGTGGAGAGGCAAGGTGGACCTATAAAGGAGGTGAAACACAGGCGATGCCGTCTAGAGCAGCTACTGGAAGAAGAGACATGTAGAGACACTTTAACAGAGACACCGGGGAGAGAGACGTGGGGAGGCAGCTGCTTGGCAGAGGCATTGCAGCTGTTAGCCTGGCTTCACTTGGCACCAGTATGAGGAATGTTTCTGAATTTTGAGTGTCTCCTTCCGTAGCAGCTCTCTGGGGCCTACTTAGTCTCTTTCTTGTGGTTCCCTGCCACACAGTGCTTTAGAGGAGTCACAAGTTTGGGGCCTTCACAGGCCTCCTTTGAGCCAAGCCTGTCCATGTGGGCATTTGCTCACAAGGGGATGGGCAACTTTCGGACTTTTACTGGGAATCTGTTATTTGATACCCTTTCTACTCACTCTCTTTATGCACTGACTTTATTACAAATCTTTTAACTCTAAGAATCCGTTTCCTTTATAAGCACCCCTGAACAGTCTGGGGTCTCTGGGTGCCCCTTGGTTGTACACTAACAGACTAACATTATCAGTTCTCATAAGTCCTCATGAATGGCCCTCTACTCAAGGATGTTTAAGATCATCTAAAAATTACCTCATTGCCATTTGAGGTATACACCCCCATACATGATGGGCCCTGTGCATGCCTCAGCCCGAGGGATGCCTGTCCTTGTGGGGTCAGTATTACGAGCTCCATGAAGCCTATCTGGACTCCATCCCCCCTGCCAGTTGTCAAATGGAAGCCTTTGGGTATGCCACTTCCATTGTCTGCGCTTCCTTTGTTCATCTTAAAATATACGTATTTTATAACAATGGTGCCTGCCTTGGGGGTGAGGAGTACATAAATCACATCTGTAAAGATTCAGGCCTAATAAACCCACAAGCACTGACAAAGTATCAGCCAGCAAGTTATTGCTACATCTCTGCTCCTTTCTTCCCATCATCCTTTTTATCCCCCCACCTACCTGTGCCTGAACCTTAAGCAGTTCTCAAAGACACAGTTCAAATCCAGCTTCCTCCACAGACTTCAGCCAATGCTGATCCCTTCCCTCACATACATTTACTAATCTCATCACAAATTTGGCATTTAATTTTAGCTTTTAGTTACCTCTGAACGCTATCTCCTCAACACCAGTTAGAGTGTACGTGTCTTGAGGACTTTGTCATTAAGTTCCCAGGAACTTTGTTATAAAGAGTACAAGAGTGTAAATGAATGAGTGGGCGATAAATGCCTATTGCTACGCTGTAGTGTTCAGCACCACTTCTCTATGCAAAATTTTTTTTCAAGAATTTCACATTGTGAAACTAAAAAGAGAGAAAGTATATCTGAATCATCTGTAGGAGAGAACAGGGCCCAGCAATCACTTATTTATAAAATGCCACAATATGAAGTTTGCCAAGTTAACTGATAGATGGGATGAAATGGTGAATCAAGTCTAATCACTGGTGACCAGGCAATTCCATCGAAAGGTTAGCTTAGGGAAAGGGAAAGCTCAGCCAGCCACGGCAATACTCCAGCCTGACATGAAGTTCACCCCCAAAAGGGTTGTATAGACAAAAAGTACCAGCAGATTAAGAAATTACTAAATGCTTGTCACAGCATTCCATATAATAGGTATCTAATAGATTTTGCTGAGTTATAAGTAAATAAATGAATAATGCATGCATGGTAAAGATTCTCAAAGGGAACTAAATATTTATAATGACTATCAATCTTTATAAGAAGAAAAATCACTGAGGATAACCAAGTCTTAGAAAAACTTCTTAGTCTTCCCCATAGATAACAGGCTGGGTAAGCCACTTATTTGTCCTAATACAGCACTTCTTCTTCTGCCTAAATTTCAACCATGAGATTGGTTATATCAGGTTCAAACAGACGGAAAAGAGGGCCCTCCTTGGGTTAGGATGCAGCCCTGAAAGATAGCCACAGTCCATTCAGTGCGAGTTCGATCCGAGGCCCCAGAGGTGAGTCACATGGCCCAGCAGACCTCTCCTGCCTCACCCACTGCTCCCCTCAGCAGTGTACTTTGTCAATCTGCCTGTTCTGCTCCCCTCTCTACCTCTGGTGAAGTTTCTCACCATCCCTGCACTTCTGGCCTGTACCCTAGTTCTGTATGCATAGAGAAATAAATCTTAAAAAAAAAGGAAAAGAGATCTATCTTGAAATCAGTACTCTTTTCAGACCTTCATTATAACATGAATATCCTAGAGTTGTTTCACATTAATTGCCATATACCACAAGGCGGCTAGGTTTTATTTCTTCAAATTTAATTGAAACCCAAAGGACAGTCTCTCTCTGTATTGTAAAGAAATATAGCACATTAATGAGTAAAGCATCTGATACTTACACTCCCTTTAGACTTTCGGGATCCTACAATAGGAGGTAGTGAAGAGGCTTTCTGACTGTGGAAACAAATTGCAGTTTAGAAATCTGAATATGAGTTACAAAACACAAAATGCAAATTCATCATCCTTTTCAATTTATCATCCCAACCTGGAAGTCAACTGTTTACTGATATTAATGTTTCACCAAAAGTACCACATATTTTCCCAAATTCACAATGACTCATAAAATTTCCAAATTCCATTCCAAATGCCTGTTCATATTTTCCTGTACACTATTTCAACTGCTGTTTAAAAATAAACATTTGCTACCTTAATAAATGTTTTTCATAGTGTTTTTATTCAGTGCTCACACTTTCTACCTACACTTCAAAAAATCATTTTCCAAGCTGAAAAATGATTTTGCAAATCAAGTTTAAAACATTAACTTGCTATTGTGTAAAACGTGTAGAAGGTCTACCTCTGAGAGAATATGGAATGGTGAAACATTGGCTTTTATATTCAGAGGGCTTCTAAATCAGTAGTATGTTCACTGATTTTTTTTAATTCTCTTAGTAAGAAGAAGTTGGTTCCCAGAAGTCTACATGAGCCGAAAAGTACTTGTCTTGAAACCCAACTGCAGCCCTTTGAAAATAAGAGGACACATACAGAGAAGTAAGTCTTCCTAATTTGTGACTCACAGTTTTCTCACCACCATCAAGTACACACTATAGTTCAAGCAGGTTAATCCAGTGCCTCTTGACAGAAATTGTGAAGGATTTGATTTCATGGATGGTTGAAGGTTAGTGGCGAGACTGCCAGTAAAGTATTCTAACATGTTGGAAAGCCAAGTGCTTCAAACAATGCCACTGAAATTCCATCCCATCTATTACTTATTTTGAAACCCACAGCTGTCCATTCATCCAGCTACATAAATTGCAAATTAAAGTAGACCAAATTGGTGACATTCTGCTCTCTCTCTACAGGTCTCATCCCCCTAGTAAAGGACAAATAGAGTCAGTTTCCAATAGTAAAGGACCATATAATGTCATTTGACTTATAAGGACATCCTACAAAATGTCTCAAAGATAGGACATTTCACAGAGAAAAAAAGTTTGCAGTGCGTGCGTGGTATGTACTTAAAAGTGCAATCTTTAAAATCTTGCATGTGTTAAATATATACTCAAATTACTTGCACAGTTGGAATTATATTTTTTATAGATTGCAACTATTGTTTAAAGGGTTTTTATAAATTATGCTTTCTAACAACTTTGGGTGTTTCTATGGGTACTAACTAAAAAAAATTACTAGGTTAAGCAGTTGAGATAAACAGTTATTAAAACAGAAGACTTGCACCCAAAAAAGAAAAAAGATACTAAAACACCTATTATTGTATGCTGTATAGAAACTCACTGCCCTGCATCTTCTTCACAAGAACAAATCTCTAGGACTGGAGGAAACTATGCTAAGGGAAAGAAGCCAGAAGTAAAATGACAAATACCCAATGATCTCTCTCATTTGGAATACAAAAAAGCAAGTAATCTACAATTAAGTAAGAACCAGGAAGGAACTGACAAAACTAAACCAACATAAACCCTAGAAATAATGACTGCAGAATGCTTCTAGAAAGGGGATGGGGTGCGAACTAAATATGGGCGGGGCCCATGGTCCAGGACACAGGACAGAGACCTGGATGGTGGAGCTGATACGGTGATATCCACTGGACAAGGTATGAACCCAGTCCCCTAAATCACATACCGTTGTAAATCAGTTAAAGTGGGGGCAATTAAGAGTAATTCTTGTATCTCATGCAGGCTTTCCAATCCTGATGACAGGATTATATAAAATATCTCAGGAGTCAGCAAAAGACTCCAGGCTTTTTCAAGTGACAATATATGAGAAGGGAATGAGGATGAAAACTTACCCATAAGGCCTTCTTATTGCTGACTTGTCAAAAAGTAGTTCAGTGTAAGGCAATTTCTTAAACTTATCTCTGCCAACGGCCACATAAAACTGCCCGTTCTCCAACTCTATTCCACTTTCAACCAGTTTTCCTTCTAAAGTATAAAGTCTGCCAAAACATCAATACCAGCAGTTACAACATAAACAAGCACTGAAAGAATCAAACTTTACAGTTTTAATAAAACCACACTGTTCTTAATTTGGCCCATGTGTTACTATCCTAATTATTGAATTATTCATGCTTCATAATCATTAGCTACATTGAAATGCCTATGTTACAGTCTACCTACAGTTACTATCCAGTTGAAAAGCCGTTCATCCCAATAACCTGATAATCAAACATAAAAAAAATCCCCATTGCTGCTATGTGAGGACTTTAGAGAGAAAGAATTCACTTGTACAGAACTTGAGGTTTTAAATAAAGCTCAGCTTCCACTGAAGATTGATTCCCCTGTTTATATTCTGAGAGCACTTTCAAAATTTATTTTCTTAATGACTCTGTTAGGTTGACAAGTCACTGACTATAATCTGTGCCAGAACAGATCTCAGCCAAAACATTACATCCAGACACACAGAAATGGGTCAGAAGACAAGAAGTGGAGGGCAGAAGGGAACAGAACCCACTGCTGGCATTAATGATGCAGAACTGCATAGCATTCATGCTTCTCACTTTCTCTGGTTTCCCCGCCTCCCCCCACCTTCCCAGCATCAAGGGATTTCACAAGCACCTCCCTTTACTGTAAAGCTGCTGCTACAAACTACAATTAATATGTAACTTATTAAAATCACTGTAATAATTTCACTTGCTGATTTAAAGTGTCCAAAGAGAGTTTTGAAGGGCAAAAATAAACTCTAGAAAAATATAGCAGAAAGATGCTGCTTCTTTTAAAGGTTACAAGTAAATGTTAGCAGACTCTGGGATTTCAAGGTAATAATTTAAAAGGTTCTAGGAATTCTGGGAGAGGATGTATAAAGCAGGGAACCCAGGTATACTGGTTAGGGAAACGTGATGTAAATGGGTGCAGCCATTATGGAAAATAGGATAGAGCTTCCTCCAAAAAATTAAAAATAGAAATTCCATTAGACACAGTCGTCCTACTACTATGGATTTAACTGAAGAATACAAATGCACTAAAGCAGAGATAGATACACCCAGGTTCTCTGCAGTGTGATGCACAACGGCCAAGAGGAAAACACCTCAGTGCTCAATGTCCATGGACGGGTGACTGGATAAAGAAGGTGTGCTGCTCATACACCCTGGAAGTCTATTCTGCTATACAAAAAATGGGTACAATCCTGCCATTTAAGTCACACAGATGTGCCAAGAGAGTACAATAAATCAGATGGTGAAAGACAGACAAACACTGTATGATTCCACTCATAGGTGGAACATAAACAAATAGAAATAACTCAACTAAAGAAAACAAAAACAAGTTTAAAAATAAAGTTCTCCAGGCCCTCCCTGGTGGCTCAGTGGGTTAAAGCGCTGCACTAAGAAGCTAAAGTCACTTCTGCATGAGTTCGATTCCCGCCTGCCCCGGAGGTAACCACATGGCACGGCAGACCTCACCTAGCCTGCCCGCTGCTCCCCTCAGCAGTGTACTTCATATATCTGCCTGTTCTGCTCCCCACTCTGTCTCTGGTGAAGCCTCTCGCCGCCCCTGCATCTCTGGCCTGTACCCCAGTTCTGTATGCACAAATAAATCAATCTTTAAAAAATAAATAAATAAAGTTCTTGGACTTCTTGTATAACAATCTTTAGCAACATTTGCAAAGAGGGGGAGAAAAGGGACTCCCTGGTGCCACAAGAGGTTAAGACTTCAGCACTATGAAGTTGTCAATAGCCACTGCAACACAAGTTCAATCCCCAGTCAGGGAGCTGACCAACATGACACTGTAGACTTCTTCTCTTTTGCCCATTGCTCCCCTTCAGCATTGTATTCCATAGATAATTCTGCTCCCTACTCTGTCTCTGGTGAATCTTCTCATCCCCACACATCTGGTCTATACCCATTCATTCATCTGTGTGCATAAATAAATCTTTTTTAAATTAAATGGACTCATCTGTGCATTTGCTGTAAATAAATGACCACTTCATAGGAAGCGATGAAGTACTATTCAAATAGGTACCAAGTCCCTCACATATGTTTGAGTTAGTAAAAAGATGCTAAAAAGGGGCCCTCCCTGCTGGTGCAGCAGGTTAAAGCACAGCACTAAGAAGCTAAAGCCACTTCAGCATGAGTTTGATCCCCAGCCCCAGAGGTGACCCACATGGCAGCAGACCTCTCCTGACCCACCCGCTGCTCCCCTCAGCAGTGTACTTTGTCAGTCGGCCTGTTCTGCTCCCCACTCTGTCTCTAGTGAATACTCTCACCGCACCTGCACCTCTGGCCTGTACCCCAGTTCTGTATGCATAAATAAATAAATCTTTTTAAAAAAAAAGATGCTAAAAGTCTCTTCCTTGTAACTTCGTAGTTATATTCATAAAAGTCTGAATATCAACATAAACAGATTTCAGATTTTCCTGCATTGACTTGACCAGGATTAATAAACAGCAACACAATTAACATTTTCGACCCTACAGCTTTTTGTTGGAAAGTGGGGAGAGGGGTATGTGAATTGTCCCTTCACCTCTACTTGCTACATGATAGATGTAGCTAGCCACACTGCCAGCTGTGAACCCCTAAAATCATTCTGGAAATGGTCAAATGCTCCCGAGGGTAAGACCACCCATGGCTGATAACCATCCCCTAGACCCACACATTCTTCATTCATTTTCCTTCACAATAGAAAGAGCTAAATCAGTAGTTAACTTTTATACTGAGAAATTAAAATGAAGCATGGCTGCGGATCTGGAAATAGGCAAAATCTGACTTTTTTTTCTGTAGGTAGTGAAGTAGTACTGAATAAATTTTAACTTATGAGGTAAGTCTTCTTATGTGGGATTTCTATTGACCTGCTTTCTTTCTTTACTGCAAAATACAAGAAAACAGGAAGTCAAACCAATATTTATTGTAAGTTTCTGAAGCATAGAAAGACTGACATGCAGGAAAGTGTAACTTTTTATATTTTGAGTGAGACAGCTCCTAGGTTCTGATTTAACTGTCCTTTTACTCAGAAGAAGCTCGTGATTTTTTAAAGGTCCAAATTACTTGTCCAAGGTAAAAAAAAAAAAAAAAGTCAGACATCAAGAAATGGTGAATGGGTAAAAGGAGGGAATAGGTTAGCAAGGATAATGAAGTGTCTAAGTTTAAAATATCAGAAGCACTTTTCTCAAGTTCTGAAATTTAAGTGAAGCTTAAAAACATGGCTTTTAAATTGTAAAGCTTATACCTTGATGCAGACGGATAAATTTACTTATTTTAGATAAGACAATTACTAATAAAATGTATGTGTCCAAAGAGTTATTAATGTTCTGTTTGAACATGTCCCAAATGAGCAGCAACCAAATCTCACTTGTATCTTGTATTACATTTGAAAAGAGGTTTCTCCAAGTATTCAAGTATTTGGGAGATATATAACTATATGTTCATTTCTGTATCAGCACTTAGAATATTTTATTTCTATTCATAAATTTGTTTATATCAATTTTTATATGAAATGGTGAGTCTTGGCATTGAATTGTGTGTATATTCCTTTGTGTGCTTTATACTATTTATTGAATGTCTTTATACTTATGTATATGTAAAAGATAAAACTATATATCTAAAAATATTAATACATAACTATTAAGATCTGCCTTCACTCCTAACACCAAAATACATTAGAATCAAAGGTTTAAATGAAATATAAAAACAAAAGATGGGGCCCTTCCTGGTGGCACAGTGGGTTAAAGCACTGCACTAAGAAGCTTAAGCCACTTCCGCATGAGTTCGATCCCCGCCTGCCCTGGAGGAGATCCATGTGGTGTGGCAGACCTCTCCTGACCGGCCTGCTGCTCCCCTCAGCAGTGTACTTCATCCATCTGCCTGTTCTGCACCCCACTCTGTCTCTGGTAAATCCTCTCACCCTCCACATCTCTGGCCTGCACCCCAACTCTGTACGAAAAAAATGAATAAAATTTAAAAAAAAATTTTTTTAATAAAAAAATAAAAAATAATAAAAAAAAACCATAAGATGAACACATGGAAGGAAATTATGTAATCTTAGAGTGAGGAAGACCTAGGCTAGTCATAAAATTTAATAAAAAGAAAATCTGATTGGATCAAAAGTAAATACATCTATATTCAAAAGAAAATATAAAGAGTGTCAAAAATAGAAATTGGAATCATATTTAAAACTTACAGGAAAAAGAGTCAGTTTCCTTAATATGTAAAGAGTGCCTATGAATCAATAATATAGACGTGCAAAGTTCATGAATGAAAATAACAATGGAGCACTTTTTTAAAGAAGAGCTTTCTAGTTAACAAACAAGCGCCAGAGCCAGTCTGTAGACTGCCACTGGACTTAAATCTCAGTCCTGCTACTCACTATCTGCATAGTTTTGGGAATATAACTTAAAAGTTACATGTTTTGTATCTATTAAAAAAGAATAATAAGGGCCCCCCTGGTGAACCAGAGATTAAGTCTCAGCACTATTGCCACTATGGCCTGAGTTTGGTTCCGGGCCAGGAAGTTGACCCACATATGGTACAGCAGACCTCTCCTGTCTCGCCTGCCACTCCCCTAAGCAGTGTATTTCAGTAAATTCACCAGTTCTGCTCCCCAGTTTGCTAAATCCTCTCACCCCCTCACATCTCTGACCTATACCCCAGTTCTACACAAAAATAAAATAAGTGAATAATAACACTACTTACCTCATAGTTGCCAAGTTAAAAAATAACTAAAGTTATACAACTCTCAGAGTAATTCCTTGCACACAAGAAATGATCAAGATGCTACTGTTGTACAAATATTAAATAAAGCCAAGAAACAATGAAATATTATTTTTGCCCAAAATGAGTGAAAAGACAAAAAGTTTGGTAATTTTACAGTATAGATGAGAATGAAAACAAACTTTCTCATGTCCTTTTGGTGAGAGTATAAATCAGTATGAACTCTGGAAGACAATGGCAGTATCAAAACTGAAAATACATTTACTTCCTAACATTGAAATCTTAGTTCTAAACTTATCTCCTGACAAAGTTTGCTTATACATAAAGACACATACATGTAATAGCAAAATACTGGAAATTACCTAAATTTCCATCAAGAAAAGACTGTTAAAACAAGCTAGGACATAGCCATAAAGCAGAATATTTAAAATATCAAAAATAGTAAGGGTTATTTATGTTGATAAGAGAATTCAAGATTTGTTCTTACAAGGGCAAAAAGTATATTTATATCTTTTCTTGTATATATTCGTGTGTGTGTGTGTGTATTCCTATTTGTGTTTTTAAGAAATAAAAACTTCAATATGCCTACACTATTTCTGGAACCATGCTGAAAAGTACTAGAATGTGGAATTGGGAAGCCCGAGAAAAGAGACATCATTTTTTTTATAGCTTTGTCTTGTTTGAATGTTTTTACTATATGTGAAGCATTACTTTCAATTAGAACACTTCAATTTAAAAATCTCAATGGCTATGAAACTAAATATTAAACCATCCTTTATCCACACTTAACTGAAAAAAATTATGTTCAATCATGCTAGAATTTATTTTATTATATATGTCTATAACTAGGCAGAAGAACCTCAAAGCAGTGAGCTCTACCAATGGAGAATATTAGAAGGACCAGAGTGATGATGAGATTCAGAAAAACTGTCAGAAAACTTGACTGGAAGATTTGCGTGTCACAACTAGATAGGTTCAAAATATATTCTACACTTGCATGTGTTTTGTGTAATCCTCGCACCTAGAAGAAACTAAATAAATTACTCTCCATTAAAAGATAATTGTTACAATTTAATCTTCACTTAATGTTTTTAATCTTCACTTAAATTTCAGAATTTGAGAAAAATGTTCTCAAACTCAGGCAATCCCACTTAATTATCCTTTCTCACCTGCCTCCCCCTTAATCCCACTAACCACCTCCTAAAGACTGACAGCTTTTTACCCTGGGAAAATTATTTGATTAAATAAATACTTAGGCTATTAAATAAGCATAAATATCTCTGAGGGAAAAAAAAGAGAATAGTTAAATTAAGAACCAAGAAGTTGGCTCACTCAAAAAAAAAATATGTCAACTAAAACACTACTGATTATTGCCTCTGCTCCAAGTCAGAAGAATCAAAATGAGCTAATATTTGTGTACTTACTACTGCGTGCCAAAGACTGTTTTAAGCTCTTTCTGTGGGTTATCTCACTCCTACAAACAGCGCTGTAATGTAAGTACTATCACATCACATCACATCACATCATATAGCATAAGTAATAACATATCCGCTTCCGGAGTCGAAAATCAGATCTAGGGATAGACTCCAGAGCAACTCGGAATATATTCAAATATTCTCTCAAGATGATGTTCACATACCTGTGCACTGCTCCACTTCGCAGAGTTATTTTCTCCGTGACCATTTGCAGTACGTGATCCCACTGATGCAAGGCTTTTCTGGGGATGAGGAGGCGAGAAGCTGGGTTTATGAGGTCTCCATTTGCAATCAAGCTTGGGGGTGGGGAGAAGAAAGGAAAAAAAAAAAATGAGTCCCACCATTTGAAACTGTGACTCCTGTAAAACTACAAAACAAATCCCAGACTAAAAGAGACCAGACCGCCAAGCCAGTTTTAACTTGCAATATAAAGGGTTCTAGCTTACAAGATGGTGCAGGGTTCCTGGGGTGTTTTTCTAAAGCGAGCTGACACGTTGATCTTGCTGTGAATTACCGGCTTTACCTTTAAAAGCAAAGAAATACAAATCACTGAGCTTCAGTAAAATTAGCCAGAAAGAAAAAGAAAGAAAGCTACCGATGGTATCTCTTACATGAGGAATGTAGAAGATCCTAATAAGGTATGGGGGGGGGAGGAGTAATTATAAAGTAATTCCTTTATAAAAATCAAAATCAAATCAATAGGAAACTATAAACCAGAGACATTCCTTGAGGGGGAGGAGGAAAATGGATCAAAACAGAACACAAGGGAATATACGGTGAAGGTACACAGGTGAATTGTGGTGGGAATTTTTTGGGGACCATACATGAGATGATAGAGCACACACTGTATGAAAATAAAGAATGATGTAAAAAAAATACATAAAATTAAAAATAAATAAATTTAAAAATTGTAAAAGGATTATCCAAGGTAAAAAAAAAAAATCAAGAGTTTGTATTAGCTGAATTTTTTTTCCTTCTGAGGATAAATTAGAAATTTCCAAGGAACTGATTGAGAGCACTGGTGTGCCTTTGTTAAAACCTTGCTTTGGGGCAATTTACAGAAAGACTCAGGACTCGCCCTCTCTCAATGTTCTGTGGCTTTAACAAAATTCTCAAGAAAAACAGCCCTGAAGCATTGGGACTGTACTGCTCATAAACTGTGCCAGCCACAGAAACAGATCGGGTATCATGAGATTTTTTAAAAAATGCTTTCTATCAAACGAAAACAAAATACTTCTACCTGACATTTAATGTTATAATGCCATGTTTTGTCAATAAACACTGAGAATAAAATGCAATGATCCCGTACAATACTATCGTCTGCCACTAGCCACTACACAGGGTGCTGTTATCTCTGCCTGCGGTCAATCTCACCTACTCGCTGTACCTAGACCCCACCAGGCACCTGTCCCCACCCGCTCCTCTTAAGATTGATGTGGTCAGCTTTCACTTGGCTTTGCGTCTTCCCCTATCCATCATTATCACCCAGTATCCTCAATTCCTGAACCCCTTGAAAGGAAAAAGAACGGAGAGGAGGGACGGACGCCATGAGTCTGTTGCCAAGTTCTGTGACCAGCCGCAAGAAAGGAAGGCTTGAGGCAGAAAGGCTGAGCAAGCAGATTTATTGCTCCAGGGACAGCAGCTGAGACTGAGCCCCTAGAGTGGGGTCCGCAGCTACTGCCCCCTCAATAAGGGGGAAGGGTCTCTTATATAGATTCTAAACTCAGACTCCAAAGGGGTGACTCATCGCTGTGTCCTTGATGTGAGGCCCAGTTCGCTGTCACCTTCAGCTAGTCCCATCCCGGATACAAGGTCAGTTTATTACCACCTTATCATTCCTTGGATGCAAGGCCTTTACCGCCCTAATTCAGTCCTTGTCAGTAAATCTTTAGTCACTCCCAACACCCCTTGATTCTGCATGGGTATGCTCACCTAGCCTTCTCCTGCTGCTTCCAGGTTGCTTCTATGAAGAACCCCACAACTTTCGGGCGCTCCTTCACCTGAAGCAAGGCTCCGGTAACAGCCAGTCTCTCCTCCTCCATGTCAACTACTTTTCACATTTCCTGCAATGGGTAATCCAAACCCTCTCTTCTCTTTCTGTACCCAAAAATACCATTCCACACATACTCACCATCAGCAGTTTATTTCTGTTCAAACTTCAAGAAAATAGACGCCAACAGAAAGAAGTCTTCCAGGCCCCTTCCCCTGAGCCATCACATCCACCTCTTACCTTTCTCACTCTTCCTTTTCTGCCTGTCTCATGAGAGGGGCCGTTAGCCCTTTACAAAGCTAAAACCCCAACATGATGTTGGTCGCTGCTGCCTCTGCTTGTTCCACTAATTATCTAGAACCCTCCACCCCCATGTGGTGTTTTCAATTTGTACCTTGACCCTTTGACCTCATGCTCTGTTCTCTTCCGATTTCTCCTCTTCATTATTCATTTTCCTACTTCTACCCACCCTATCCTCTCTTAATTCTTCTGCTATCTGAATTCCACCAATTCTTAAGCTTTGCCTCCAAGAAGCCCATGTCCAACCACAGCCTATTCCATCCCCCCATCTCCTACCTACTAGTCCTTCCACTGAAACCCTTGTCAGTCATTCTGTCGAACTCACCTACTCCTCCCATTCCTCAATCATGTCTCGCATGCATTTCCACGCCTCTGCTTATCATGCCACCCTCCCTGAAATACGCTTCCCATTCCATCTGCTAAAATTCCATTTGCTAGCTCAGCTCAGTTATCAGCAGTCCTCTCTTCACTCATTAGTTTTCTTTCTCAAAATGTTGCTGCTACTGTATCTATTTGCTTTTAGGGTTTCTTTCCCCCTAATTTGATAAAGGCCACTTATGAGCAAAGGGAACTGATTAATAAAAAATAGCTCACATTAATTGCATTATATGTGATGGCAAACACAGTGCTAAGTAATTTAGATGCGTTATTTATCAGCTAATCATCAAAAGCATGCCCTGAAGCCTATTACCATAGCCCCACTTTACAAATGAAGAAACTGGAACTTCATTGATTCATTTGTCTAAAACTGTACATTATAAAAGGCAGCAATGTTAGTGAATCCTTATCTATGAATCTCTAATCACTTGTTATGATTTTTTTTTGGGGGGGGACGGGCGGGATTGGACCACACATTCAAAGGCAACAAGAGCAAAAAACCAAACTAGTGGGACTACATCTAAGTTTAAAAAACTTGTGCACATCAAAGAAAGCCACTAGCTAGCTGAAAGGGCAACCTGTGGATTTGGCAACAATATTAGCAAATCATATGCAACCGTTGCTTAAATCCATCATTCCATTCAACATCCTCTTGTTACAACAGTGGTGAGGAAAAAACCTCAGCCTGGCCAGGGCTGCTGTCTGCGTGCAGTTTGCTCTTCCTCTCCAGGGTTGCATGGGTTTTTGCCAGGTACTTCAGACTCCTCCCATGTCCCATAGAGATTCACTGGGGTGTCTAAACTGCCCAGTTGTGAGGGTGGGTGTGGGTGTGCATATGAGTGCACCCTGCAATGGAAGGGCTTTTGCCCAAGGGTTCAGCCTTACACCCTTGTACATTGATTTATGGAGTCTGGCTCTGGCCATGGATAACCAGAACTGGAGATAAGAGCATTGGAAAGAGGAAACGAATACATGAATAAATGAACACAAATGATTGTTTAAGATTACAAGTGAGTGTTTTGGGTGTTTATGTAGAAGGCTGGTGATGGTTTTGTGACCAGAAAGGTGCTGTAGGAACTTAATTTTTGCTTATATCAATTAGCCGATGGTTAAATTGGTTTTGTTAAACAATCCTGATCACTGTTTAAGTATGAAATTTAATTTAAGGTCACAAATTTCAAATGACATTAAATAAGACAGTCTCAGAGCTAGTTCATTTAACATTCAAGTTAAAACACCATGACTCAAAAAGATTAAACTGTTCGCTATAAAAACCAATTTCAATGAACCTACAGTGTTTCTTAAAAAAATATATGTGTAAACAAATAACATCAACCTACAAGGTGAGGAACTGTCAGGTCTGAATTTCTAACTCCAGTACCAACTGCCAAACCTTTCCCTATGAACCAATTTAATACCTCACACCTCATTTTCCTTATCTGTAAAAATAGGGGTAAACCTGCTAAACTAGCCCAAAGGGAGGCTCCATGAACTAATTAATGAACTGGCAATGCCACTCCCTAGGGCTGTTAGGTTGAATGCTTCAGAGAATCCATCTGCCTCTAATCTCCAGTACTCAGCATCTTAAAACTCCAAGCCAAGAAAGCCAAATTTTCACCACTGTTTGACAAATGAGCAGAAAATTTGAAAGATAATAGTTTTGAAAAATAATTAACCTAAGAGTCTGTAGATGTGACACATACAAATTGGGCCAGATTTGAATAATGTATTATAGATTCTTCTAAAGAGGTTTTTAAATGATGACACATTTTTTCAATAGTTCTAATTTTTAAATGGAACAAAGACTGGCCAAGATGCCTGATGCATGGGAGTGGTATAATCTACCTGTGTTGGTGGTAGGTATCATAACTGACAATTGTAAAGTAACTCTAAAAATAAAGTAACTCTAGGAATATCTTCTAAACTCCTGAATCTCTGAAGCCATTTAACATGGAATTCTCCAGATCAACTGAAAGAAGTGAGGACAATCATCTTTTCTCAAAAGAAAAGTTGACTCACCTTCTCCTTGGGTTTCTACAAATGCTCAGCATGCAATAAAAAATATAAAGCATGTAAACAGGAAATATAATCCATTGTCAAGAGAAAAAGTAAAATCAAACTCAGAGATAACTAAAAATTGAAATTAGCAAATAAGGATTTTTTTTTAAAGATTTATTTATTTATTTGTGCATACAGAACTGGGGTACAGGCCAGAGGCTCAGGGGCGGTGAGAGGCTTCACCAGAGACAGAGTGGGGAGCAGAACAAGCAGATCGACGAAGTACACTGCTGAGGGAAGCAGCGGGCGGGCCAGGAGAGGTCTGGCTCGCCATGTGGTCTCCTCCGGGGCAGGCGGCAGGCGGGAATCGAACTCATGTGGAAGTGGCTTCAGATTCTCAGTGCTGTGCTTTAACCCGCTGCGCCACCAGGGAGGGCCAGCAAATAAGGATTTTTAAACAGCTACTGTAAATATGCTAGAGGGTTCAATAAGAAAGGCAGAGAAAATAGGTGGGAAGGTGGAGAATTTTAGCCTAGAACTGAACTCCAGAAAAAGAAGCAAATGAAAATTCTAGAACTAAAAAACCAAATATCTGAAATGCAGAATTCATTCCATAGGCTTAACAGAAGATTAGACACATTAAAGAAAGGATAAGTGAACTGAAAGATGTCACTTCTTCAAAATGAAGAATGCACGTGCACACACACACATACACACTTTTTCTCAGAGCTGCCTGAGACATACAGAATGAGTTAACTAATGTGGTTCACTGGAATCAAGCAGAAAAGAAAAGTAATGTATTAGAAGTGTGTAAATAGGAAATGTCCAAAATTGATGAAAGGTATCAATTTACAGAT